CCCCAAAACCCCAAAACCCCAAAACCCCAAAACCCCATGTAGTGACTAGTATAATGAAACTTAGAGCTCAAAAAAATTGATTAGGTATACTAATGGGTAGTGAATCATTTTTAATATGCTTTCTAGTCGACAAAGATATAATTTAATATCTTACATTTAAAATTAGGAGAGATTCATGAAATAACTTTTAAGAACTCAGATTAGACAAATCCATTCTAACAATAAAACCTTCCCAAAAACCTTCGATAAGCTTCTTATTGCTAACAGAGGTGAGATCACCAGAAGAGTAATCAAATCCGCAAAGAAAATGGGAATTAAGACTGTTGCTGTTTACTCTGATGCTGATCACAACTCAATGTTCGTTAGGGAAGCTGATGAAGCTTACAGAATCGGTACTCCACCATCAAAAGATTCCTATCTTAGAATGGATGTAATCTTAGAGGTTATAAAGTCAACTGGCACTCAGGCCGTCCATCCTGGATATGGTTTCCTATCAGAGAACAGTATATTCTAAAAGTATTTGCAGGATAATAAAGTCAAGTTTATCGGACCCCCAACCAAGGCCATCTAAGCTATGGGAGATAAGATTGAATCTAAGAAGCTTGCTAGAGCTGCTAAGGTCAGCACTGTCCCAGGTTTCCTTGGAGAAGTAAACTCCGATGATGAAGTCAAGAAGATCGCTGGTGAAATTGGATACCCAGTCATGATAAAGGCATCTGCCGGTGGTGGTGGTAAAGGTATGCGTATTGCTTACAATGACAAGGAAGCACTTGAGGGATTCAAGCTCTCAAGAGAAGAAGCTATTTCATCATTCGGTGATGGTAGAATCTTTATTGAGAAATACATTGAGGAACCTAGACACATCGAATATCAAATTCTTGGAGATGAACTAGGTAACTATATCTATCTACCAGAAAGAGAATGCTCAGTTCAAAGAAGAAATTAAAAAGTTATTGAGGAAGCTCCATGCTCTATTATGGATTAAGTGACCAGAGACAAGATGGGTAAATAAGCCATTCAATTAGCTGCTGCTTGTGGATATTACTCAACTGGTACAGTAGAGTTCTTGATGGATAAGAATAAGGATTTCTACTTCCTTGAAATGAATACTAGACTTCAAGTTGAGCATCCAATCACTGAGGAGATTACAGGTATAGATTTGGTCGAATAACAAATCTTGGTTGCTGCAGGATTCCCATTATCATACAAGCAATCTGATGTCAAGATCCATGGTCACTCCGCTGAATACAGAGTTTATGCCGAGGACCCATCTCGTAAATTCCTTCCATCAATTGGTTTCCTTCAAAAATACAAGGAGCCAAGAGCTCATGAAAATATCAGAATCGATACAGGAGTTTAGGAGGGATCTGAAATTTCTATGTATTATGATCCTATGATTAGTAAACTTATTACTTGGGGAAAAGATAGAAAGGAATGTTTAGACCTTCTAGCTAATGCTATGGATGAATATGTCATTAGAGGAGTTACTCACAATGTAGGATTTGGTCAATCAATTTTGAGAAACAAATCATTCCAAGATGGACAGTATACAACTGCTTTTATCCCAACATTTTATCCAAATGGCTTCAGAGGAGATCCACTAGATCACAGTGATCATGCATAACTTGCACTCAGTGCTCATTACCTTAGAAATCTCTACAATAACCTTGGAACTAACAATCATACTCATGAAAAGGTTTACTATGTAAGCATCAAAGGAGGAGATCATGATATTGATTTCAAGATCGAGCATGTTGATGGATCCAAATTCAACGTTACCGATATGCAATCAAATAAAACTACTGCCCATGATGCCTCAGACTTCGACTTGGAATACGGTGCAATCTTAAGATTTAAAGACAATGGAGAGAATAAACTTGTTTAATTCATCAATTCTAAGGATGATCTTTACTTTAACTTCTATTACAAGGGTAACACTGTTCACAGTGCCGTATATACTGAGACTCAATACTAAGTAAAGGGTCACATGGCTCCACCAAAGAAAGTTGATCATGCAAAGAGTGTTATTTCACCAATGCCAGGATCTATTGTATCAGTTAGCGTTGAAGTTGGTCAAACTGTTACCGAAGGATAAGAACTCTTAATTGTTGAGGCTATGAAGATGTAGAACATTATTAAGAGTGAAGTAGAAGGTAAAATCAAAAAGGTCAATGTTAAACCAGGTCAATCAGTTGCTGTCGACGAACTTCTCATTCAGTTTGAATGAAAATCAAAGGCGCAGATTGATAATATTTAATGAAGTAATAATTTGCTTATTTAAACGTCACTTAATTCATATCCCAAAATCATAATTACAATTAAATCGAGAGCTTAATTCTCATTTTCAAAAATCCTCTTCATCCCAAGAGTCATCACCGCTTGCAGGAGGCTTGAAATCTTTCCTCTTATCGTAGACAAATGTTGGGTCAGTTGGTTTTACAAAGTTTTACTCATATTTTTTATCCATTTTTTTCTTGTGCTTTTAAATTTCATAGTCTGAAAGTTTATTAAGATTAAGTGTGTTATAATCAATTCCATCATCACTATCTGAATTTAACTTATTGCTTTTTGCACCTTTATTATTTTTAGGCTTTTCAATATCTTCGAAATTCCAATCATCATCGTCGTTTCCCCAACCTCCATCATCATCCCAAGCTGAAGCTTAAAATGTTTTGGGTTTTTATATAGTTGGAGGAGGCAAGTTAGTGAGAGAAGTAAGATTCTATTTCCCTAACGGAGCTAAAGGTTATGAAGCCAATGAGGAATTTTAGTTAATTGTTGTAGGTCTTGCCTGAGGTTGATCAATTGATTTTGTTGTGCTAGTTGCTATTTTATTATTATTCTTTTCCCATGGTAATTGCTTCTTAGGTTCTTCTTTTACTTAATCCATCATAACCTTACTTGAGAACTGATCCAATGGATTTACAGTTTTTTTGGGCTACTCTGACATAGGCTTCGAGAGACTTAAGGCAGGAGGCTTTATTTCTTTTGCTTTTTCAGTTTTCTTAGGTGGACTCTATTTATTCTAAGAAAACTTTTCGTAATAACTTGTCGAGCTAGATAGACTTGCATCTATCTATGTTTTTTATTGCATATTAGGTTTATTCTCAATAGCGGTTTTAGGCCCGTTATTAAATTTATTATAGCTATTTTAGTTTTTATTTTGATTGCTTTACATAGCTTATTGAGTATTTTTACCGTTCTTATTGGGGGAAATATTGAATTCTTTATGTGCAACTTTATTAACAAGAAGCTAAATATGATTTTGGGTTACTTTTTCCTAGAAATACTTAGAATGTTCTTTCATCACTGCTTCAATAATTTCTTGAATCTGCTCACTATTAACAGATTAACTAATATCTAGCAGTGGCTAATATTTATTCAATCTTATATAGTGATGATATCGTTTTCCTTTACTTGGGATTACATATTCCAAAACAATAATCTTTTCTCTCATTTTAACCCCAAGTCTTTTCGGCTAATAATCTTTGAAGTCTATCTAATTAGTTTTGAGAGAACTCATTTTAGTGAGATCAGATTAATGATTGTTTGATGCTTCTGTTATAAGGAATTTCTTTGAAGGCATTATTTAATTATTTTTTAATTGCTTTATTTTACTTATTATAATGGCCTATGGGGTTTTGGGGTTTTGGGGTTTTGGGGTTTTGGGG